TGTGGGAGGCAACCAATCAATGTGTCTCTCTCACATCGGTGTTTCTCTTTGTCTCACCCTCCTCCCCTACCCCGCCCGCCCCCAGCTTCCACTCTCTCTAAAAATCACTGGAAAAAAAATATCCCTGGGTGATATTTTTTTTAAAAAAGATGCCCACGGCCATGCCTCACTCTTGCTACTTTGGTCTCCGCTCCTTAACAGACTCCTCTCGAGCTGTCTGCCTCCTACACCCAAGGGAGACCCCGGAGGGACCCAGCTCAGACCCCAGTTGAGCCTCCTCTATAAAGCCCGGCCTGCCCCCTGCATCGCCCGGTGTCATCCTGGTTCTGTTTCTTACCGTGAAAAGCAATGTCGCCCCAGCCAGTCACCCAGCACCTTGTGCCTGGGGGGAATGAGAGGGAGGCTGGCGGGAGGCGGATCCAACTGACGAGGTTAGATGGTTGCACGGGGGCCTCCAGTTTGAGAAGTGCCACGTCCGCCCCACCGAATACTCCCTTTTCAAGCCTGTACTTGGGGTGGCGGATGATCCTGGCCACCTGCACACTGTCACTGTATGAGGGTCTCAGTTGTCCTAGTTGGACCTTAAAGTGCCGAGTCACTGGGTTTGTCCTGGGGACAGAAGGCCAAAGCCTTCTGAGAGGCTGTAGCAGGGAGTGGGCCAGCCCCTCAGAGCCCAGAGACCTCCCCTCTGTGGTGGGCAAGGGGAGCGCCAGGAAGCTGAATCCTGGTGGGGGGTCTGCAACCACTCAGCCCAGGATCTGCTCCCAATGCACACACATGCCTCCCGACACTGTCCACCTCCTCCCTCACCGGGTGCTGGCAAAGTCAGACTTACCCTGGAATGCAGTGGGCAGCGGTCAGCACCCACTGGGAGTGGATGAGGGAGCCCCCGCAATAAAGACTCCATTGGGAACTTGTTTGATTCCAGAACCAAAGGCCCACTTGCCACGGCCAGGCCCCAACAGCAGCATCATGCCCCCCCACGATGCCCACCAGCTCAGTCCCTGGGCTGGGATCTGGGGAAGCAGAGGAAGAGCCATCAGGGACCCAGGCACCACTGCCCGGCACTCAGCATGGCCCCATCCTCAGTCCCTCCCAGAGCCACCCTCAGAGGGGGATCGCCACCCATCCCAGGGGCGGCCTCTGACAGGTCAGAGTCTGGGGTTTGCAGAAAAGCCAGGCTTGGAGGTCAGGACCCACCTGAGGTCACAGGTACGAGCCCCCCAGACAGGGGAGAGTCAGGACCAGCAGCCACAGCATCTGCAGGGGGAGAGGGGATGGAGGAGAGCCAGTGAGGAGATGTGGGGGGGGGGACACAGCCTGGGAAGGGAGAGGATGGGGCTTTGAGCAGCGTCCTCACCATGCCCGGTCTGTCTGCCTTCTGTCCTTGGCCCTCTGAGCCCCTTTATCCTCCTGCCCAGACTGGCCCAAGGGAAGCCGCCCTCCTTTGGGGTGGGACCTGGGAGGAGGCAGGGCTTATCTCTTCAGTGGGACCAGTGGTGACCAGCAGACCAGATATCAGATAAGAAACATGGTGTTTCCTCTCTGAGAAGACACTCAGTATTGGTGCTGGAGCCCCAGCCGGTTGGCTCAGTGGGTAGAGCGTCGGCATGTGGACTGAAGGGTCCCAGGTTTGATTCTGGTCAAGGGCACATACCTTGGTTGCAGGTTCCTCAG